TCCAAACCATTGGTTTATATGTGGTAACTTATGTGGTACATATATATATATATATATTTATAGTTTCATTACCTTGCACAGTGGACAGGACCAGATAGGTATGAAATCGATCAAAATCGACCCACAAGAACCTCATGACGTTTATTTGTTTACATGCCTACGGCCCTATGAGAGACCGTCCGCAAGCATTGTTTCACTGAGGATTTTACGCTGAGAAACCGCGTCAACCTTTCATTTAAGGGTCTTGGAAGACTAAGGACTATGAATTTCTGTCCTTCGCTGTCAAAAGAAGAACACAAAAGCAGCTAAAGCACAACAAACATATGTTAATTGCCCTCTTCCTGCCACTCATACAGTATGTGTTACACAACTCACACACCAAATGGCGCCAATGCTCATACACATGATGCGGACCAGTCCCAAATACCTGAAACCAACCGTGTCGGCTACCAGTACCTCTGGTGTTTTTCGGTGGGTCGTCCCATTCACCTCCACAGTCCAGTCTACAGGCGGAAAAGAAGTTCTATGAGTTCTATGTTTTGAGGGTCACCAAATACCTTTTACCCACAGTCACACTAATTACATGCGTCCTTGTTTACAACGATGTAACGTCCTTGCGACACACCTCCAGTCTCCCACGCAGGCTATGGGCGTTTTCCAAGCCTGGCTCCAAATCCATTAGGACAGCACGTGGCACATATCGTCCACCTGTGGCCTCGTTGAAGTAAACGTTGATTCGCTCCTGAGCCGAAAGAACCCATTGCCGAAACATGGGCATGCGCGCCGAACACTACCGCACAGGGCACACCAAGAAAAGTTGTGCAAAGTACTCCAAGGAAGCACCTGCTGCATGTCTTGTCAAAAGACTGCACACAGAAAAGGAGGTCCAAGGGCATGCACCATGTGTGCATACAGATGCATAAGGCTGAGGAAAAACAAACACTACCACGCATGCAAAAAAGGACGAAGTGTTGGGATGGTTTGGGTACAGTGCTCGACGCTCGACCGGACCGTGACGCGAAAACGGCTGACGCGTTCGGATCGGCCGGTCACCGGTCGTTGAAAACACCGGGTCACCGGTCACGCCCCGACGGAGTCACGTCAGACGGGGTGGTTTTGAGTCCCATCCAGTGGATGTGATGACTTCCAAGTTTGGCACCCCGACATGTGACTGCTGGAACACAACATTCATCCTACAGAGTCGATCACCAGTGGACTCCAAAGCTGTGATATACTCATGACTCTTGGCATGGCAAACTGCTGAGAAATGGCACGCTGCTTCTTCGGACCAAGGTGTGTTCTGATCGCCTTTGCGAGTTGCTTCGTTCTGCGTAAGTCCATGTCTTGGGCTTTTCCCATGTTACTGTTTATTCCAAAAACATGTGGTCAAAATTAAAGCAAACATGGTAGCCCAAGACTTACGTTCCGAAGTCGACCCCACCGATGTGGCCCTGAGATTGCCGAGTTTCTAGCTGCAGGTCAGAGTCGCCATGATAGGTTCCTCGACGGCTGAGGTATCTCGGAAACTCAGCCTAGCGTTCTTGTTCCTAGTAGTAAGGCCACGAGCCCCTAGTAACGTCCTTGCTCCTAGTAGCGATGCCCTTTGCTCCTAGTAGCTTCTTGTTCCTAGTAGTAAGGCCACGAGCCCCTAGTAACATCCTTGCTCCTAGTAGCTTCTTGTTCCTAGTAACTAGTAAGGCCTGGAGCCCCTAGTAGCGTCCTTGCTCCTAGTAGCGATGCCCTTTGTTCCTAGTAGCTTCTTGTTCCTAGTAGTAAGGCCAGGAGCCCCTAGTAACGTCCTTGCTCCTAGTAGCGATGCCCTTTGCTCCTAGTAGCTTCTTGTTCCTAGTAGTAAGGCTAGCGTCCTTGCTCCTAGTAGCGATGCCCTTTGCTCCTAGTAGCTTCTTGTTCCTAGTAACTAGTAAGGCCAGGAGCCCCTACTAGCGTCCTTGCTCCTAGTAACGATGCCCTTTGCTCTTAGTAGCTTCTTGTTCCTAGTAGTATGGCCACGAGCCCCTAGTAACGTCCTTGCTCCTAGTAGCTTCTTGTTTCAATCATGCAGTAAGGTGAGGAGCCCCTAGTGGCGTCCTTGCTCCTAGCAGCGATGCCTTTGCTCCTAGTAGCTTCTTGTTCCTAGTAGTAAGGCCAGGAGCCCCTAGTCCTTGCTCCTAGTAGCGATGCCCTTTGCTCCTAGTAGCTTCTTGT